TAACAGAAAGAGGATGTGTCTCATAAAATGGGGAAATCGTATTATAAGGTTTATGAACAGTTAAAAGTAATAAATATGTGATACCAATCAGATATTTTTTATCCCCTGGTATATACCGTACATCCTTCCATCTTGTCCCAACAAAATGGTCGTTCGTAGAAGAAAATAAAATGCCTGGACAAAGAGGGTGTAACATAAAACTAATCGAAGTATTGGTTATGTAAAGTTAGTTTATACTATATACATATACATTTTAATATATATGTGTATGTGTGCCGATATAACTTTCTGTTTTTTTCTCTCTCCCTCAAGTAAAAACAAAATGGCTGAATAGAGGAGTTGGTGGGCTAGGTAGGGGTGGTGGATGCCTGTATCATAAAACGAATCGAAGTATAGGTTATGGAACGCCCTTGCGACCTCGACTTCTGCCTTTACTGAAAACGTAAAAAAAGAGAAAGAGAGAGAGAACTTTAGTGGTTTTGGAGAAGAACAGAATTGATCGATCTTTTCCTCCTGTAAAGAGAAAGAGAGAGAAAGAAATCTATGAAATGGTTGGGGTATCATCTTGGTGAAGAACAGAAGTGGGCAATGTTAGTGGAGAGAGAAAGAGACACAGAGATAGAGAGAAGAAAAGGATAGAGAGGGAGAAAGAACGATGAGAAGTTGCTTGCTGGAGACTCTGGTATACCGGCTGGCAGGGTTGGTGTGTTGGCCCTTGTATTGATTCACGGCCCCTTATACACCAACCCCCCAACGAAACTTGAGAGCCAGAGAGAGCAAGAGAGAAAGAGTGAAAACGGCGGAGGGGAGGGAAAATACAAGTCAGACTATCCTAGACTCGTCATAGAGGTTGAAACACCAAACTATTTCCGCTGGTGTGCCATAATCCCTCTTATCGAGCTCCTAGAATTCGCAGTAATTCGTTAGGACTCTAACGGTATACATATGTTAGGCTTCCTTTCGACCCTTATCATCTTTCTTCTAGACCAATTACCATTGGATTTAAGATAAATATTTTCTTTTTCTTTTGTTTTTTCTGTTTTTCAATAAAACTAATAATAATAATAATAATAATAATAATAATAATAATAATAATAATAATAATAATAATAATAATAGTAATAATAATATAAACAGATAAGTTAACGATAGTAGAGATCCTAGCGGAATTTTCATTCGAGATAGATGCACATATCTTTTATTGATAAAGAAGATAACGATGATTACCGATTAATCAACAATTTACCGATCGAGTAATAGAATTCTTTTTTTTTTTTCTTTTTTTTTTTTCTATTTTGGATTTTCTCTTTCTCTTTCTCTCTCTCTTTTTCTTTTGAAGAAAAAGATTCTAACGTTTCTAAATTGTACTTTAGTATTAAGCGTGCGAATCGTTGAGTGTAAAGAAAGAAATAAAAGAGTGGATTTTCTTTTTCTCCTTTTTTTTTCTTTCTCTTATTTCTCTCTCTCTCTCTCTCACTCTCTCTTTTGACGAATGCGTTTACTCTCTTTCCACATTTCCACGTATTCACCCTCTTGCGTACTCAACGAACCACTTTCATGTTCATTTTTGTCAAACGACCAGTCAAATTCACGTCTAATTGCTGGAAGAGCAAGCATTAAAAAAAAAAAAAGAAGAAAAACAACAGAAGGAACTCATTTTGTATGTATACATAGGTACGTAAGCAAATATATAGCAAATACATAGGTACGTAAATGTTCTTTGAAACGAATTTACTTACGGAACATTTTTATCGATCGAAAAAAACTCAGAAAATTTATACAATTCTTTTTTTATTTTCTTTTTTTTTTTCATTTCTTTTTCTTTTTTTTTTTTTCTTTTTTCTTTTTTCTTTTTTACCTCCAATGTAATCTACATCGTACTTTTTCATCTTATTACTGAGAATGAGTTACCTATAAGGACATTGGTATATTGGAAGGGGAAAAAGAGAGGGAGTGAAAAGAAAGAGAGAGAGAGAGAGAGAAAGAGAGAAAGAGAAAATTCGCGCAGTGCCGCCTGCTGGCTCGAGATCGTACTAGAGTGACGCAGTCACCACCTGGCCTAAAACCGTGGCGCATCCATCCTCGAAATTTGCCATTTTTCTATCTACGAGGAAACACCGGTAATCTTATTCTTATACGACACCGAAAGAAAATTCTGTAAGTATTAGGGTATTATTCGTTGATATATTCTTTTTCCTCTTTTCATTCAAGAAATCTCAATTCAATTTCATTGAAGATTCTTGTCGCGCATAGAAAATGGATTCGTTTCTTCAACAGCCAGCATGCATTTTCGATTTTCTCTCTCTCTCTCTCTCTCTCTCTCTCTCTCTCTCTCTCTCTCTCTCTCTCTCTTTCTCTCGTACATACATAGGCACATATATACCGGTTCCAATTTCTCTGTTCGTAATTCGAACGAGTAAGTAATTTCATAAATAATAGTGGAAATATTTCTAGGAATTATATTTATAAATGAAAAATAGGTCTATTCGTGTCTACGTATATATATATATATATATATATATATATATATATATATATATATATATGTACATATATATATGTATGTATGTATGATGTATGTATGTATATATATGTATGTACAGATTATATATATATAAATATATATATATATGTGTGTATGTGTGTGTATGTGTGTATGTATAAAATATACATATATAGATTTTTAGCTTAGGTATGATCGTGGGTGGTGCGCCAGGAAAGAGGCGTGTTCAGGATAAGGTCGATAACATCGTGCGCCCGCGCATTTCTCTTTCTCTCTATCTCTATCTTCATCTTCATCGTAAGAAAGGATTAAAATAATATCGCAAATGCATTTTCATGTATATGCGTAATAATGACATGTTTTCTTTTCTTTTCCTCCTTTTTTTCTTTTTTTTTTTTTTTTTTTTTTTTTTTGTTTATTTTTATTTTAGTTATTATTATTTTCTTTTCTTATTTTTCTTTTTTTTTTCTTTTTTTTTTTTTTTAACGCGAATGTATATAGTACGTGCCAAATCTGAAATAATAAGAAACAAATGCGAAAATGTTTGCACACACCGGAAGTAATAATATTCGAAGAGTTTCGTCCTTCGATAATAAAATAGGATGGAACGCGGACGGAATTTCTGAAACGAATTTTGTTATATCGATCGGCCCATTCTCGATGCATTCGAATATACGCACACACAAATTTATATGGCAGGCACGCATGATCGTTCCGCTTCGATCGACGCAAAAATGACTTTTTTCCCCCATTCGTTTTTGGCTCTCTCTCTCTTTCTCTCTCTCTCTCTCTCTCTCTCTCTCTCTCTATCTATCTATCTATCTCTCTCTTTTTCTCTATTGCGAATAATTCTTTTCTTTCTTTTTTCTTCTTTTTTTTCTTTTTTTTTTTAGGTTACAATGACTCGAGGGTCAATAATCGTAACGTGATTGGTCCGATACATTCGATGAGAGGGGAGAAAAACTATGTTATTATTCATTGTTTACGTCAATTATTTTTTATGATTATTTTTTGTTTACAATGGTACGCATGCATTAATTTCAGATTATTTTTAAATAAATGCAGAAATATCCTTTTTCTTTTCTTTCCTTCTTTCCTTCTTTCTTTCTTTCTTTCTTTCTTTCTTTTTTCTTTCCTTCTTTTTTGATTTCCTTTTTCAGTCAGTATCGTAGAATTTTTTTACTTATTTCGAAAATTATTTACCGATCAAGAGGAGGCGTATTGATGAACCTTTTTTTCGAAAAGTTATCGTCACCGTCGATATCGAATTATTATTATATGTATGTATTTAAAAAAAAAAAAGGGATTATCAGCCTTGTATACTTTTATTTATTTTTTTTTTTTCGGTTGGTGGTAGTGCGACAGGGGTGTTGGAGGAATTCGATAATAGTCTCGTATTTCGTTTGTAATCAAGTTTGTTGACTCGAGGCAAAAAAGAGAAAACTAAAAAAGAAAATAAAAAGGAAAAAAAAAGCTCGGCGATATAATTGGGTTCTAAATTTCGAGTCTGGAAAGTGTAAGAAGAAAAAAAGGTCTGATGTGTTCGTTCTCATTTCGTTTGATGGAACATTTCTATTTTTGGAATCGAAAGTGTAAGAGAGTTGCATCGTATTTATGTGTGAGTGATAGAGACAGAGAGGGAGAGAGAGAGGAAGAGAGAAAGAAAAGAAGGACGAGGAAAGCAAACCACCCACGGTGATTCTTCTCTTTCTATCTCTCTTCCTCTCTCTCTCTTTTTATCTCTTACTCTCTTTTCCTCTCTCTGTCTGTCTTCTTTTAATCTCTTCACTTCTCCCTTTTTTTTTTCTTTTTCCAAGTTCTCATCTCTTGACCTCAACTGAACTCTTAGAAAAACCATTTCTTTCGACCTACCTATGAGATACGTCGAAAACATAACCTCTATTTAGAAAAACAAGAAAAATAAAAAAGAAAATAAAAAAGAAGGAAGAAGCTCAGAAAAATTTGTTGAGCTCGTATATATTGACCTAAACACAAGTCTATTTGAAGAACTTTTTTTTTATTAGTAATACGATGCATAAAATTCAAACAATACGAACTTTTTTACAATTGCATATATCTACATGGTTAAAAAGTATATCTATGTATGCATGTTCATATATATATATATATATTTAATTCGATGATAGATTCAAATAGTAGTAGAAAGATTAGATTTTTACATTAATTTTCATTAATCGATGCATATTATTTATTTTATGGAAAAATATGCAACGTGCAATTTCGTACGTCTATTCACAATATCGATAAGAAAATTCATCGCTTTGTTACATGAAGATTTAATTTACTTGATTTTAATTGGTCGATAATTATAAATGCAGCAATATTTATTAACTAATAAGAATCCGTGTAAGACCAATGTCTGTTCTGAAACATTTTTATTCTGGTTGTGTTTTTATTATTATTATTATTATTTTATTATTATTTTTATTAATATTGTTACTTATTATTATTATTGATTTTTTTTAATTGTTTATAGAAAGAACAGAACGAGAAGGGCGAGAGAACGTTGGGAAATTCGAATTACAATTCCTTTCCGGACGATCTCTACCTGGACGATCAAGAGGCCTCGGAAGGTTCTGGACGAGGTGGAAGCGAGGGACGAGACGACCTTGAAGCATCCGGTAGTGGCCTTGGCCCTGACGACGAGGACGGTGACGATGAACATGGTAAAAAAGGAAAAAAAGAGAAATAATACAAATAAAATAGAAATATAAAATACAAATAAAATAAATAAATAACTAATAATAATTTATATCGATAACAATTTCTTCTTATGTGTGTATTAATTATTTATTTATTTTTTTTTTCCTTCTCATCATTTTTTAGAATTCGACACGACCAATAACAGAATAGAACCAGTGCCAAAAAAACCAATTGAACCAAAGGAACCATATTCTATTGATGAGAGCAACAACAACAATAAAGTTCAAGTATGAGTGTTTGTTTGTTTGAGTTTTTCTTTTTCTTTTATCATTTTTTTTTTTTGTACATAAATTATGTATATTGTAAGTACATGTTTTATGTATGAAAAAGGTACATGTACAAAAACTCCGTACATCCTGGTATACATGCATAAATATATACGATATGCGTATATTTAAATTCGAATACGTCTAATTTATATATATATTTTTTTTTATTTATTTATTATTTTCTTTTTTTTTTTTTTTTTCTTTTTCTTGTTTTTCGTAGACCAACGAAGAAACGATAAATCGAGTGGATAACGAAGAGGTCGATGTAATCGAGCCTTCGACCGGAGAGGACGAGCACGTGGATAACATTGGCGATAGCCAAGACGTTTACATAATGAATCCAAAGCACGAGGATCGTGCCAGTTCGTTCTTTGCACAGCCAGGCGTTCTAGCGGGTATATACCTATTTGATAAATTATCATATATACATATATATGTATATATATATATATATATAAATGATAATTGATTTTGTTTTCCAAGTTGCAGTTTTTCTTTCTTTCTTTTTCTTTTTTCTTTTTTTTTTTTTTGAGATCATACATTTCATATCTATAAAATATCTCAGCTTTAACCAAAGAAATTATGATAAAATCAATGCAGGATAATAATCGAGACAAAAATTCTTTTATTCATATTATTATAATCATGGTTGTAATTAAAAAGAAAAAAAAAAAAAAAAAGGAATGAGATAGAATTCACGTAGAAAGTGTATATAATTGACAAATATTTACATTGATATTTCATTCAGATTATTATAATTTCTTTTTTTTTTTCCTGTTTTTTAAGAAAAACAAAGAAAATAAATTTACGATTACTTTGTTAATAGCGGTGATCGGTGGAGCTGTAGTCGGCCTATTATGTGCCATACTCGTGGTGATGTTCATCGTTTATAGAATGCGCAAAAAAGACGAGGGTTCGTACGCATTGGACGAGCCAAGAAGATCGCCGGCGGCTCAAGCCTTTCCAAAACCTGGCGCACCCCATCACAATCGAGAATTTTATGCTTGAAGAGACGTAGCCCGTCTGGCTTCGTTACCGGCTAATATTCCTACCAGTAATATTCTGGTAGAATGTCGTGATTTCGAGCCAGGGAATAGAAAGACACGTTCGATTGAATCGACGTATCAAGACGATCGTAGCTGGACGATGATTTGAATGATCTAGCCGTTATGCTCGATGATGATGATGATGATGATGACGATGATGATAACGACGATGATGACGACGACGATGATGTTGATGTTGATGATGATGACTACGACGAAAAAAAAGAAACAAAAAAAAAAGCAAAAAAACGGCGTAACATGTGGCAGCTCCTTATAGGATATTTAAAAAAAAATATATATATATATACATAAAAAAGAAAAGCAGAAAGAAAGAAAACGAGGAAAAAAGTAAAATATACAAACAAACAAACAAACAAACAAAACAAATATGGCGAACGAGAAGACGCGTCGCTATCGACCAATCCTGCGACGATGATAATCTTACTCGATTATCTTAGAGCGTACTCGTTCGCCAATCAGACATTAGTGTGTAGCGATTGAAACGCGCTCTGCAGTCCTACCTCCGCTCTCTCCTTCTAAAGAAAAGAAAAGAAAAAAAAGAAAAAAAAACAAAAAGTAATAATAATAAATATATACATATAATAATAGTTAATTTAAAACTAAATGATTCTATGCGCGCGAACGAACCTGCGTTTTAGTTGTTTTTTTTTTTTCTTTTTTTTTTTTTTTTTTTTTTTTTCTTTTTTTAACTCTTAATAGTTTTAATAATTTATTGTCCCTTTCCTTTTTTCTTGTTTTCTTTTTTTTTTTGTTCCAATTCAAAATCCACGACATATCGATTTCGAAATTATCCGATAAATTTACGACGTCCGATCAATTTTTATTTACGTGACTTTTTTCGTTTCTATTTTTTTTTTTTCCTTTCTTTCTTTTTATTTTTTTTTTTTTTAGAACGAAGCGGATTCAGATCGATGCGTTTTAATCTAACTTTTAAACCTTTTTATCGAGCATTGATCGATAAAATCAGCCATATTAGTGTTATCCTTTTTTTTATGTTTATCCAATCTTATCTTATCTTTCCTTTTTATTTCCTTTCTTATATCCACGAGCACATACTCTTGGCGAGATTCTTCTTATATTGTTTTCTTTATCATTCCTAATTCTTTTTTTCTTTTTTTTCCTTGTTTTATTTTATTTTATTTTACTTTTTAATAAACTCTTAATTAATCAATCATCGATCATAATGTATATTTGTGCTCTCTTCAAGTAAATATAAAAAACGAGACGAATCTGTATGTATATGAATTATGTTTTAATGGTGTTCGCGTTTCTGGTTTTTTTTTTTTTTTTGCTTTTGGTGGAAGGAGGGGATATATATATATATGTATATGTATATGTATATGTATATGTATATGTATATGTATATGTATATGTATATATATATCAACAAAATAAAAATGAAACAAAAGAATTTTCATGGACACCGATTCCGAATGCATTTACACAAACCAATAGGTAGTGTGAAAAATCTATGCATTTATGTATAGCTGCATATTATTATTATTATTATTATTATTATTATTATTATTATTATTATTATTATTACTATTATTATTATGAATATATATTTATGTGTGCGTAGTGAGAGAGAGAGAGAGAGAGAGAGAAAATGAATGAGAGAGACAGAATGAAAGAGAGAAAGAAAGAGAGAGAAACGTGAAATGAAATTTGTTTTGTTACACACACACACAGACACACAAAATAAGTAAAGAAAAGGGCCACCACATTAATAATATTGTTGATTTCTTTTTTTTGTTGCTATCTTCCCTAAGGGAAGGGAAAAAAGAAGAAAAAGAAGGAATAATTAGCGTCGTTTCTTTCTTTTTTTTCCTTTTAATAATGCAATCAATGTAAAAGATTAAAGGCCGAATCCCCTGATTGCCCTTTATCCCGATTACTCACGATTAAACCATAATTGTATTTTCCCATTGTTTTAACTTACAACGTTATGTAAGTTATGAGATGAACGAGAAAAAGGAAAAAAAAAAAAAGAAAAGAAAAAATACGTATTGATACTGTAATGATAATGACGAAGAATGATGGGGAAATATTACGACCCCGGGAATTTGTCGAGATAAAGGGTAAACGAGATTTAATTGAGAAAAATTAAATGATGTTTCTCACACGCAAATGTGTAATATAATAATAAGCCTATGGATGATTATAATTATAATTATAATTATAAGTGTAGTCGATCGTTTAGCGAGCAACTCTGTACATATCGATACTTGATTAACGATCGACCGCCTTTAATTTTTATTTTTATCTTTATTTTATCTTATCTTATTTTATTTTATTTTATTTTATTTTATTTTATTTTATTTTATTTTATTATTATTTTTTTTTTTCTAAACTTACATGTCTCTCGATAATCAATCGATATCTGTTCATTTTTTTGTCTATGCAATTTTAAATGAATGAATTAATTGATTGATTGATTGATCAATTAATCAATTGATTGATTAATTAATTAATTAATTAATTAATTAATTAATTATATACTTAGGCTGAACGTTTGCGCCTTAACGTTCCACTTGTTTTTAATTTTTTAATATATATATATATATATATATATATATATATATATATATATATCAAAATAAAAATATATATACATATATATTCAATGAATATATGTATATATAATATTATTATTATTAATTGTAAAAGAAAATAATACTTCGATCGTGTAATACAATGAACCGGTTTCATTGGATCGATCTAATTCAATAACAATGTTTGCAATGTTGAATTAATTCATTTCTAATAATGATTTTCAATAGGTTTAGAACATTCACATAATTGCATTTATTTCTAAGATATTATAGTAATTCAATGCGTAATAGTTTTAGCCATAAACAGTGTCATACATATATATATATATATATATATATATATATGCGATTAAAATTTCTTTTTCTTTTTTAAAAATCGGATTTACATACGTACGTTGAAATAAAAAAGAAATTCAAATTTAATCGCGCTATAATGGAAAAATGGCGTCGCTTCCTTCTTCCACCCGACAATGATGATGACTACGACGATGACGATTGAAAAAAAAAAAAAAAGAAAAGAAATAATAATAATAATAATTAACGAAATATTATTAAGAGAAAAATATTTATCATTTTGTTTGTTGATAAACGACAATAGCGACATATGCGCTCGCTTAATATTATCGTCATTTGAACATAGGACCAAATCTATTTCTCGTGTCGTATTAATCAGTCCCATTTATATTTGTTTATCAAAAATTCGAATTAATTAGATCTAATAACGTTTTCGAGAATTTTTATGCGTCCGTTTCAAATCTCTCCCCCCAACCCCCGTGTGTGATTTGTCGTAAACAAAAAAAAAATTATATATATATATATATATATATATATATATATATATATATTAAAGAATTAAAAAAGATATAATAATAATAATAATAATAGTAATAATGATAACAATAATGATAATAATAATAATAATGAAAAAATAAATCTTTCATAGCATTCGATGAATATCGTGTCTAATATGGGAATATAAAATTAACAAAAAAGAAAAGAAATTAAAAAAGAATCGATAAGAATGATAAAAATTAATGTATATCTATATCATACCGGTACTGCCATATTATATTATATTATATTACATTAAATTATATTATATTATATTATATTATATCACACGGAATCTAACGATTTGACACGAACTTTACACGAGTCCGCCTTATTATTGTTACTATTATAGAAATGTGTCGTCCATCATTGGTCAAATCAAATCAAGTCAAGTCAAGTCAAGTCGTTCATATAGTATATTATTATCCTATAGTAAATTTTCATCACGATTATATATGTATTTATTAATTGATATTTTCTCTTCTTGTAAGGGGAAAAATTTATTTTCTAATCCTATTTGGATGTATCGGGACTAGAAAAGTATAAGAAATATTTTACGAATTACGCGCACAAATTTTCTCAACTTTTTTTTTATTAATGAAAAAATTTAATTGTCGAATAAAAGGGACATCCTCGTTGAGCCTACGCGATCTAAATATCGGAACATGATGACGATCTTTTATTTTTTTTATTTCTTTTTTTTTTTTTTTTTTTTCTAATAACACGCGCGCGTATTTTGTTATTGTTGTTATTAACTTTAACAAAAAGTAAAAAAAAAAAAAAGGAAAAAGAAAGCTTTTCCTAGTTAATTAATTTATTAATTAATTACTTCCTCTTCGAGAAGACATCTTTTTCGCCATAAATAAAAAACGAAAAAAGAAATATTTAATTAAATGAAATAAAAGAGGAACCTGAAACTGGATCGTAATATTTATATAACATAAGTATCGTGTGTATATATATATATGTGTAAATGTATAAAAAAAAAAAAATATATATATATATATACACATACACAAGCATACATGAACAGAATTGTTTGTTAGATAGTAATTAATTCTTCACACACAAGATATCTTCGAAAAAACAAAAAAAAAAAACAACAAACGGCGTTTTAACCATCGTGTCTCTTACAAAATCGTGAAAACAAAATGTCTTCGTTGAAAAATCAGAACGACGAGGAGAAAAGAAAGACAGAAAGAAAAACGAAAAAGAAGGGAAAAGAAACAAAATTAAAAAAAAAAAAACAAGAACAAAATGGAAGAAAAGGCGTGCGATTATGTACCACCTTTTTTTTTTTTTTTTTTTTTTTTTTAAATCAAGCTCGCTATAAACACGCGTTTTATTAATACTCGAGAGACATTGTCTACAAAATTAATTTATGAAAAAATAGTGAATATAATAATTGTATGTAATGAAAACAACATATTTTATAAGACTTATCCCATAAGATCGCGTTATAGCAATTAAAAAGAAAAAATGAAAGAGAGAAATCCCACATAGGCCAAGTGGACGAATGAGAATAATAATAATAATAATAATAATAATAATAATAATAATAGTAATAATAAATATATAATAATAATAATAATAATAACAACAATACTAATAAGGATAAGAGTAATAATAATATAATGATAATAATAATATTAAATAATAATAATAATAATAATTATAATAATTTTAAAAAATGAATCCGATTAATATTAATATTTAATGATAATTATTAATTAACGAATATTATTTTTTAAGTGTAAGTATCGTTTCTGTGCTCCCTTCTGTCCCCCCTAAATATATACTACGCACGTAAATACACAACACATGACACACACACACGCACACATACATGCAGCATATATGTATATATATATTGATCACATACTTGTGTTATTAAACCGAATACATATGTGAATATGTATATATGTATATGTATATGTATACAGAAATAATGTACGCATGCATTCTTCGCCCGCGACATTGACCTCGTATATAATTTCTTTTTCTTTTTTTTTTTTTTTTTTTATTATTTACTTTCAGATTTAATAAAAAAAAAAAAAAGGAAAGAAAGAAAGAAAAAGAAAATAAAAAAAACTTCGCCTTTTAACATTCCTGCCCAAGTACAATGTAGCAAAACATGTGTACGACGACAAGATTAGAATTTTGAGAATATAATTATCGCGGGTTGCGTACGTAAATAATAATAATTATTATTATTATTATCGAATTAATTGATTCATTGTAATTAACAAAGAATTAACAACAATAATTATTATTATTATTATCGTATTTAGTATCGTAAATAATTAAACAGTGTATGTCGTCGCTCCTATCTCTGTAAATAAATATTGTATTCTGTAAGGAGAAGTTTAGGGACTTATTTGATATATATATATATATGTGTGTATGGGTGTGTGTGTGTGTTTGTGCGTGCATGTGTGAGCGTGTATGTATGATATATATATATATATATCATATATATGTGGAGTGGTTAAGAAAGTGTTACAAACTATTTACATTTTTTAATGGCATCCTATGGATTAATTGTTTAATACATATATGAAAAAATAATAATTTTTTTTCAGTAATACATTTTTTGCAAGACAAATTTTATTTCAAACATCATATATTTTTAGATGAAAATAATTTGCAACATTTTAATTGGTATACATTTGTTTTTCAATGAAAATAGTTTGCAACACGTTTATTTGGATCACGTTTTATTTATTTATTTATTTTTTTTTTTCTTTTTCGACAAGATTTATTTTTAACATTTTATTTGGAGCATCCTATATACATATATATGTATATATATATATATATACACATAAAAGAATATATATATGTGTGTATATATATATATATATATATATTTGTTAATGAATTTGTTGAATTAATAAGAACGTCGAGTTAATGAAAGGAAATATTGTGGATTATTCGAAAAAGTTATACTTTATTGTTTCACCTCGATAAAGATTTACCAAAAATACATAGAAAAATAATCATCTTTGTTTTATGATAAGATTAAATGTATTAATAACTCTAGCACCATATAAAATCTAAGACAATTCTTTCCGAGAAAGAGTGATAGAGAGAAAGAATCGTAAGTATATATATATATATATATATATATATATATATATATATATATATATATATTAAAACAAAACAAAAAAAAATTAACATGAAGTAACTATTTTTCATTTCTTTTCTTTTCTTTCTTCTTTTCATCTCATTCAATCATTTTGATTTCAATAATATTATAAATGCATATAAAATCTACATATTGCCATTATCACATTCTATACCTTTTAATCTGTTAATCGAGAAGGATTAATTTATTCTAATTAATTTTTCTTAGAAAAATTTCTTTTTTTTTTTTTTTTTTTTTTTAACAGATTGAGAAAAGAAGAAAAACATACTTCTTCCTTTTTCTTTTTTCTTTTTTTTTCTTTTTTTTTTTTTTTTTAACATTTAACATATACGCTATAATCTGCTTTTAAGAAATGGTTTCAAATATTTGTGGAAAGATTCGTTTACTTTTTCTTGATTCAATGGACTCTTCATAGCTTCGTCGTAAAGACGTTGATAAACATTACCATCATAAGCTCCTAATGCTGATCCAAGAATTTCGTCTGGTATATCAAAACCATCTACTATGCCTACAGCATTAGGTCGAATAGCTGTTAGCATTTCTTCCAAATGTAATTGTAACTCCGATATATTTTCTTTTTTTAAGCTAGAGAACTAAAGACAAAATAGTTAATTAATTAATTAATTAGTCAATTAATTTTATGAACAATCTCTATGGTAAAAAGAAAAGAAGAAAAACAAAAAAATAAAGAAGAAGAAGAAAGAAGATTTAGAAAAAGTTAGACTCACTCTTAAGAAATCACCCATTCGTTGTAATACCCAATAGGTGCAATACAATGTACATAATTGTTTTAATACGATATGCAATTCTTTTGATACTGTAGTCACCTCATTGATAACCGTGACATATCTCATTACTATGAAAGCACGACAATGTGATTCAGCTGCCTGCATTAATTCGATACTAGTTTCGTTCCAGGCCTCCTCAGGGGAACGACCTTTTTTTATTTTACTATTCATATTCTGATTAGCCAGACGAATTTTTCTATAAAAAGAAATAATTACCACAAACAAATTTATAAAATATCTTTAAGAATGTTATATATATATATATATATATATATATATATATATATATATATATAAAAATGAAATCTATATAATTTATACCCTGCAGCAACTGCCTGATGAGCTCTAACGATACACATTAAACTACCATCCCAAGGTTCCTGTTTTGTGCCACGTGCTATATTAGACAAGTATTCTACTGTAGGTGGTAATGGATTACCTCTTACAGCTTGTCTCCAAACTTTCATTAAATATCTTGCAGTTTGTAGAAGTAATACTGTATTTTCACCCTCGTAAGTACATGCCGCTGTTACCAAACCATACGTAACAGGTAAATTACTGGAGTCCATGTATCCATGACCACCACAAGAAAGTCGAAGTTCCTCGATACCTCTTGCTCCATCGGATGAAGCTGTTGCTTTCAGACAACATGCAAGTGCATGTAACTTTAATAAGAAAATGTGATTAGATTATTTTTATTTTTTTTTTGTTTTTTTTTTTATGTATTATATATACCATATATATGATCTAGAGAATATTTATAAAATACATACTTCTGGGAGTCTTTCAAGTTCACCCTGATGCAATTCAGCCGATACATTATTATACATATTCCAAATCCAATTTGCAGACGTAATGATCGCAAAATACATCGCAAGATTTGGGAATAGTTTGTATTGTTGAGTCAAATAATCGATAATTTGTGACTCGGGTTCACTAAACGAAAAGAAATGTTTAGAAAGAACTAATAATAATACGGTATACAGGATGATTCAGATTTTTTTTCCTCCCCAGACATTTAGAATCACTTCGTACAAATTACAAATGATTTTTTAATATGTAAATTTTCTTTTAAGTAAACTCAAGAATATCAATAATTTTTACAATGCATATATTTACACGTGGGGAAAAAAATTTTTTTATAATCACTTACTCTAATTTTATTTGACTTTGTCTCCTTACTGCACTGTATCTAATAGCAATGGTTACTGCTTTAGAAATATAACTTGCAATATCTTGTATCAATACCACTCGAACAAACATCATTGTACCATAAGTTAATTTATCGCTTGTTGCTTTGACATAAGTTCCGTCTTCTAATATCTTTAAACGAACACACAAATGAAGAAAAATAAAAAAATTTCCTTTTTCTTTAATGAGGTCGAATATATGAATATAAGAATATTATTGGAAGCAAAATAATCTTTTTCTTTTATTACCTGAGAATTTTTCATCAACATATGATCTCTCGGTATTCTAACATTCTCAAAACCTAAGAAACCATTATTAGTTGCATTCATTCCTAATTTAGTTCCAATTTCTCCAATTTTTATACCTACAAATATGAATCATTAATACTCATAATCAGTAATTTATTATTATTGCAATAAATTAATAGAAAAATATTTATATACCTGGTAAAGGTTCATGCGTTTCTATATCTCTGAGTTGTACGATAAATGGATGTATTCCTTTACAATCGCCTTGCGAGTACAATTGTGCAACTACTACGGCGTAATTCGCAGTTTGACCCACTGAAAATAAATAGACATAATTTAATATTATTCGTGGGATGTTCTAGAGGACAAAAAAAAAAAAAAAAAAAGAAAGAGAGAGAAAGAGAGAGAGGAAGAAATCATAAAGTAAATTATTTTGGCATGAGCCATTATTGTTAATTAATAGATGAAATAATACTTAAAAAAAATAAATAGTACTTACAACCACCGGGCCACCATTTGTATGATGTTAAAGTTGGACTGTTTAATATGAATTCTTGTGTTTCAGGGTCATAGGTCGCAGTAGTTTCCAAACCTCTGATAAATGTTCCATGGCCTAGCTCTGTCTAAGAACCAACAATAAAATGTTAATAAATAAATACAATTTGACGAAGAGAATGTTTTAAGAGTGAAAATAACAATTAATGAGAATAATTATTAAAAAGACAATATCGATTTTACTTGAGCATAAGTTCCTATAATACTGCAAGACCAAGCCTTCGATAACCAAATTGATTGTTGTTCGGGTGTAGCTTGACCCAATAATGCTGGTATGAACATTACAAAATGTAAAGTTAATGGATTTCCATCTTTTAATATCGCAGATCCTAACATTCCACCTAAAATTTGTCTATAAGAAAAAACATAAATAATTTATAATGATTTAAAAAAAAGAATCAAATTTAGTTTTCTTCAAAATATGTTACATATATTCTAAATTTGAAAAAAAAATTATATTACGTTAAAAAATATTAATTGTTTCTTACATATAAGTATGCATATCGGACTTTCCTACACTTTGTAGATATTGTAACTTATTCAAAACAATGCATCCTTTTCTAACAGCATCTTCATAAGTTTCCTTATGACTTTTATACTTTGCAGGAACTTTATCTTGCAACAAGGGATCATTTAAAAAAGTATCTTCTACAAAAAGAAAAAACGCATTTAATTGTATAAAATAAATATTAAATCAAAAGAAGTATAAGTGTTTTTACATAATATATATTAATCAAATACAAAATTAAATGATTGATATTAAAACTATTCGAATGTACAATTTACATCTAGTCGTATAAGAAAAAAAGAGAAAAGAAAAAAAAAAAGATGAACACAATAATAATAATAATAATAATAATAATAATAATAATCAAAATAATAATAATAATAAAATAAAAAATAATAAAAATAAAATAATAATATTTTAAAATGGTAAATATAAAATTTAAATATAAAACAACATTAATTATATAAATAAATATAAACATAATGCAATAGATTGTATTAATTAACATCATAAAAAAAAAAAAAAAAAAAAAAAAAGAAAAAAAAAATCAGATTCTATGTACTTAATTAGATAAATAATATTCACATATATATATAATTATACAAAGTGATTAATAAAAATACAAAAACACAAATACAAAAACAGAATAGTCGAAATGTATAATTAATTATTTTTGTTGTTTATAATTTGGTATAAATAATTATTCTTTGTGTTCTCTCTCTCTCTTTCTCTCTCTTACTCCCTCAGAAACACACACACACACACACACACAGAAAAATATTCATACAAATTAAAAATAAAATAACTTTAATGATGAACGTAGTATTATGAAAAAAATTTGAATAATTATATTTTAAAATCAATCGATTGATACATCTCATTATTTGAGAATCGATCATTCTCAACTCGTTCACGTATTAATGACAAAATTATGAAAATTGTAACGGTTATTATAGCAAATATTTCATATGCTTGTTTATTAGATAATTTTATATATATATATATATATATATACACATACATATAAATTACTTGATGTATTATCTTTTTATTCATCTTTTTTTCTTTTTTTTTTCTTTTTACCAAAGGTCTACTTTATCAATGAAAAACTGGTCGATGATTAATGCATATTGCCAATGTAATGTGTGTATGTGTATTTTTTACATATGCATAGGCAGAAAAAAGAACTGCGTGATATTCGAAAAATTTCGCAATGTAAAATCTGTTTGAATTAATATGAAATTCAGTAATATCATTTAATTGAAAATAAAATGTAAGTTTGATATCGTAAATGTTAAAAAAAATGTTAATATGCACAATGCATTATACATAGTTGTAATCATAAAAATGTACATTTCATTGTTTATCAACATATTAAATGTTGCTCGAAAAAAGTAAATAAATGAATAAAAATAAAAGAGGAAAAAGAAACAAAAATTATTAAAGTGAATTAAAGGAAGGTACTTAAAATATGTTATCTTAAATTTTTTTTCTCATATGATAAATATAAAATGAAAATTTTAAAATTTTTGTTAATATATCTTTTTTGAAATTTAAATACCTATCTGTCTTATCTTTAACTTGTCATTACCAAACAAGTTTATTATAATACTTAGAAAATAAAAAAGAAAAAAAGAAAAAATATATATAAAAAGTGAGATAACAAGAAAATAAAGAAAAAATAAAAAAAATAACGCCTCTGACAATGCAATAATACAAGGACTTCTATTTTTTGAACGCTATTTATTTTTTTTTCTTGAATATCTGCTATGTAAGAAAAAATTTATTATATTTATAAATTAAATTATAAATCAATATAATCTAACGATATGTATCATAAACATTTTGTTCAAATCAAAGAAATTTATCAAAAATACGGAGTCATTTCAAATATTAAAATATATGAGAGATAGTTAATACAAAAGTACAAAAGTATAAAAGTACAAAAGTTCGAGAACCATTGAATTTTTTTAAGATACTTTTTTTAAGATTTCTTTTTGTAAAGAGATAAGAGGAAAAGGAAAAAAGAATGATGAATCAACGGAAAAAAGGATAATAGAAAGAAATTAAGGAGAGAGAGAGAGAGAGAGAGAGAGAGAGAGAGAGAGAGAGAGAGAGAGAGAGAGAGAGAGGGAGAGAGGGAGAGAGAAAAGAAAAAGAAAATAAGTAAAAAAGAAAAAGTACGAATGAAATCGATGTAAAATGTAAATAACAATGGTATAATTCCCGTAGAAGTATTGTCATATTATGCATTACCTAATTCATGTCGTATAGCTATTTTCTCAGAAGTACCATTCAACCAAAGAGTTAATTCCTTCGAATCGAAAGTACATCTTTGTCGTTCACGTAATAAATCTTCATTCACATTTGTCGTTCTATTTCGATACATTTTCTTGTATTTTTGTTTTTTTGTTTTTTTTTTTTTCTTTTATTTCTTCCTTTTCTATTTGTTTTTCTTTCGTTCCTTTTAATTTTCCTTTTAATTTTCGACGACTCGTCCTTTTTCACAATAAATAAAACAATATCAAATTTTTACAAAATTCATACGTGCGACATTAATAGAGGAAAAGAAAGAAAGAGTCAGTCTCTCTCGATTTTCTTCGATTAGACAATTATTCCCTTCAATTCTCTTTAGTTTCCCTTTAATTTCCCTTTAGTTGCTCTTTCTACTCCTTTTCTTTCTAATTTTTTTCTTTTCACGTCATACAAGAAAAAAAATATTTACAATGTAAACCGATGATAATAAAACTGATGACGATGCAACGATTTCTATACTAGCACTAACACTATTTGATAGATACTAACTAAATGATGAATCGAGAAGCTGGTAACTATTTTTATAACAAGAATTACAAGTACTTCGCGTCTTATGAAGTTCCATTCTTTATATTACGCATGAAATATGTTATCTTCTTTTATACTTCCTTCTTATTCGTTTTTTGTACTCTCTTATCACCCACTCTATTTGTGAATAAAACATCTTTCGTAAATTTCATCGAACTACTTGTGATTACCTTTGATAGTTCCTATCGATAATATCATTACCTACGTTACCTACGTTACCTACGTTACCTACATAAACAATTTAACGTAATTTCAATTAACAACGTCATGATAATTAAGAGAATTAATTTCAATTAAAATTATATTAATTATGTAATTTCTGTTTAATATTATAGCGTGCGCCGATAATATTTGTAATGATCTATTAAATGGAAGATTTGAATTTGGCGCGTTTTAGAATCTTCGTGCGATATCAAGATGGCTTCACTTCCGTCTGAATGCTACGAGGAAGCTAGTATCTCGCCATTTTCTTTTTCTTTACGTCGAAAAATTTCCAAATCGCATCATGAGGTAAGGATTGTTCGTTCTATTCTATAATTCTTATTGTTGGAATTAGTTTATATTGATTGTTATAAGTTTAAACAATGAATTTGGAACATTTTGTTGGTTATATAAAGTGGATTATGATAAATAGTTATTGTTTTTATCAGCAAGATTTTTATGTTGTTGACGAACAACCACATGGTATTATATTTAACTTTTATATATTTGTCTTATGCTTCCATTAAAATTTAATACTGTTTATATGCATAGCGATAGTTTTTATTAATAATGATGTCAGATATTAATTTTATTGCATACCTTTAAACTATTTTTCGTATATCAATGATGTAGATCGTAATCGTTGAGATTACATTCATCTTACGTATAACCTCATTTTATTTATTTATATATTTATTTATTTTTTTCTTTTTTTTTTGTTATAGTTCCTTAAAACTACAAAAGAGGCTGGCAGCCTCTGTTATGCGGTGTGGAAAGAAGAAAGTATGGTTGGATCCTAACGAAGTTAATGAAATTGCAAATACTAACTCTCGTAAGTTTGCCTGTTTGTTTATCTATTGTAAAATGTTATTTCAAATCATTGACAACTATCTGTTTTTTTTTTTTTCGTTATAGGTCAGAATATTCGCAAATTAATTAAGGATGGTCTGATCATAAAAAAACCTGTGGCAGTTCATTCAAGAGCACGTGTACGTAAAAATACAGAAGCCAGGCGTAAGGGTCGTCATTGTGGCTTTGGAAAAAGAAAGGGTACAGCAAATGCTCGTACTCCTCAGAAAGTAAGCTTTTAAAGTTGTTATGTAAATTTCTTGTAGATATTTTTATTGTATAATATTATTAATTACCACGATAAATATAGATCATACTATAGGTTTATTTTTTATTAATTAATTATTTTTCATATAGGATTTATGGATTCAAAGGATGAGAGTTTTACGTCGTCTTTTGAAAAAATATCGTGAGACTAAAAAAATCGACAGACACTTGTACCATTTGCTTTATATGAAAGCAAAGGGTAATGTTTTTAAGAACAAAAGAGTACTTATGGAATTTATTCATAAGAAAAAAGCTGAAAAGGCTAGGGCAGAAATGTTGTCTGATCAAGCTGAAGCACGGCGTACCAAAGTACGCGAAGCACGTAAACGTCGAGCTGAAAGAATTGCCACGAAAAAGCAAGAGCTGTTACAGTCCTATCAACGAGAGGATGAAGCAGCTGCCGCGCAAAAGAAGTAATTTTAATGATTAACAATTTTATTATGTAAATAAAACTCAAAGAAAATGAATGACGTTTGAATTCATTTCTCGACACATTATATATATTATTTTTATTTAAAATTTATTCCAAAATAATTAAACAAATTTCATGTGCCTATATATATATATATATATATATATATATATATATATATATATATATATATATATATATATATATATATATATATATGAGAAGTATATATATATATATGAGAAGTATATAAAGTAATATAAAAAAAAACAATATTGAATGAAAACATTTTTCATTCAAAGATAAAAGTTTTTCATGTAGGAAGATGAAAAATTATTAACAATAAAATTTATGCAATATGGTTATACTTGTTGCAAAAGTTAACCTATAAATACATATACAAATTTCTCATAGAGGGCAGTATGTGCGATTCATAAAATACGATATAAAGCTAAACATGTGCTTAACATATTTCACTAAAACAGAAAAACAATAATATAATTTTCATTGGTATGTATAAATAAATATTTATAATTAAATCAATATATATACTGAGCATATTAACTATGTATATGTATGTATATATATATATATATATATATATATATATATATGTATATATATAGTTTATAATTTCTAACGAGTACAACGATAGAGAAAACATCATTCGTTACTACTTATCGATTAGAAGAGACAGTCTGGTGACATCAAATCATTAATTTAGAATTATATTGAAGGGAAAAATAGTAAATCAACAGTTAATTAGCTTTTGTGAATTGTTTAGGTTAATTAATTTGCTTCGAAAAATTTCAGAATATATTTCTATTCTTTGTATTATCAAGTGTCATATCAGAGAGTGCTGATCATTTTTTCATTATTACAAAGGTACATCGTTGTTTCTTTTTTTTCTGTTAGTTATAAAATTATATAAAACTATCATTTACTATATTATTAATATTTAATAAATATAATTGAATGATACGTTTCATTTGCAATTCAAAAGACAGCTTGTTCGTAACATGGAAAAGAGGTTAGTTTCTTAAACATAGATCAGTTGTCAGTCACATATGATTACTATTGCATATAATTATACATCTAACTTATTAATGGTATTGCATCATATATATTTATATATATATTATAATTTTTGTCGTGAAAAAAAGTGATAGTGTTATTTAAGGATGTTCTTCAAATATCGTTTGATATTTTTCTCCCTTATATTTCCCTTGTAAAATATAGGAATTATTAAAAACCTATACTTTGCAATTCACAGCTGGAATGTATATAAATCCATGGCCTAAACAGTGATACAGGAACAATGGATCAAGAAAAAAATGTTAGTACACATGTCTATGCAGGCTTCCGCTATGTAGTTTGATATTTGATTGAATTCTTTTTTTTCTTCTTCTTCTTCTATTTTTTTTTTTTTTGTTGTCTTTACAATTCTTCTTTTGACTCCTTTCATTATAGAAATAATTATTTGTAATAATTAATTTGTAACATCTATCTTCTTATCTCTGAATATGAGTGTTTGTAGTTTAAATGGTTTTGGTGTGTTATCTCTAAGACAAGGGATAAATAATTATTTGATTGAAATACCTTTGAAGGTACTTTTAATGAAATTTTAATCTATTAATATTACTGTATTGGTCGATACAGAATTTTTTATTATTCTTATTCTCGTTCACATATTCTATTCATTATGTAACCTTTATTCATACATATTTGATACAATATACGCATTTAAAAATTATTCTATTCTACGATATAACTTTTAAACATGACATTTAGGTTGGATTTCATATATGTATATATGATTGGAGAAAAAAATAAAAACAATTTCTATGTTGCGAAATATAAAAAGTGATTAGTACGTTAATATGTTCTTTCTATCATTGTGTCTACAAATATTTAGAACATACGTGTATATGTATATTTAAATAATAATTATTAGTAATCAGTTTAATTTTATCAGACATTGTTAATTGTTCATTCTTTCAGAGTATTTAAAGATATTCATTTTTTCTTTAATGAAATATGACATGGCGAATTACTTCATTAGAAAAGTGCCTTATATGTAATTATAATGTGTTGATTTATGTGTTTGCAACAAGTATGTATGAGAACATATATGTAATGTTAATATATTGGCACTTTTTTTTTTTTTTTTTTTTTTTTCATGTAAACATACTTATTATATTATAATTATTATTTAATATTTTTTATCCTTGATGCGTAGAATTATTTATTATTATTATGCTTTGATATTTAAAATATAAATCATACGTTTTAATTCGAACGAATTATAATTCAAATGAATTGTTTTTTTAGTTTGAAGAAGATGGACAGAGCAAGTTGATTACACGATCTGCAGCGAGGCATCTTCGTCGTAAGCGATTGAACGAGGCTCGAAGAGCAAGAAATCAATTTCTTTTAGAATTTATTAATGGAGTTGATGAAAAGATTAATCAGGAAACAGAAGCTCACTTCGATAGTGAGAAGAATAAATTAACGAAATCAAAGGCTCGTAGATTACGTAAGAAGGAAAAAGCAAAATTATTGGAAACTTGTAACTGTGATACTTCCCTTGTTTCAACTAATCTTCTACAATTTGAGCCAAACTGTTGTATTAAATCCGAAAAGAATACTTTTGATACTCATATTAATAATGTGCAACATTTTGAAGATCTTCTTGCACAATCGTTACTATCCTTAGGGAATCATAACAAAGCTGTTGGAAAAATTGAAGAGACAATTGAATGTGAATTTAAGTATGACAAACAAGATAAAGATAGATCACAGACGTACCTTACACAACTTGTTAATGTGAATTCAGAAGATCCATCAGACTCACCTCTAGCGGTTGTTTACTCGGCGTTACCTAAATCTAAAAATAAAGAACAGAATCATTGCACGAAAAATAGTCCAGGGATAAAAAGATCTTATTTAGAATCTTGTAATATTAAAGTAGATCAATTGTCTGATACATTTCCAATATCTGAAAAACCACCTTGTAGACCAAAATATTTTATAACACCTAACGCAAAAAAGGATCATGAAGTGGCAAGTAAGAATATATCTTTGAATAATAAAACATTAGAAGAAAGAGAAACAGAAAATATTGTTACATCAGAGACTTGCCCATTAAAATATGGTAAGTTAGTTATTATATTTTCAATTTGGATAAAAAAAAAAAAAGAAAAAAAAAATAAAATATATATATAAGTGATGTTTTATTTAATAGATCACAATATAAACACTCTAGAATCTCTTATTGATAAACAAAATCCAATAGAACCAATTTCTAACAAGGAATTAATATTAGAAAACAAGATAAATTTATCAAGGAATTTTAATCATACGTCGTTGGAAGAAAAAGAAGATATTGATTCTTCATCAATATTCCAACAATTATCAGAAGAAGCATTAAATATTGAAACAACTTCAGAGAATCCTATTGTACAAAGGCAATCTTTTGAAGAGTCTAAAGAATCAATTTTATCAAGTATGTATATAAATGATTAATATGAATATACTTTATTAACATAATATTTTATTTACAGTAAATCCAACATCAGATAGTGTTACTTCAACAATAAACGTACAACCAAATAAAATAATGGATTCTAAAATGACTGGTATAGTTAAAACGAGGGAGGAAATAAAAGCTGAACGTGAAGCAAGAAAAGCTGCAAAAGCTGCTTCCAAGGGCAAGGGTAAAGTTGCCACTGGTACATCTGAAAAGCAGAATATTCCTGTTAAAGTAGATCAAATTTCTAATGACAATATAAAGGTAGAAACAAGTAAAGTGACAAAGTTGGAATTGAATAATATACCTATAACCGAGAATAATTCAATTAATACTATAGAAGATTTTATCATAGAAAGTATGAATATTAAATCGGAAGGAAAAAGTAAAGCTGAATTACGTGCTGAGAGAAGAGCTAAACAAGAGGCACAAAGAGCTGCCAAACAAGAGCAAGTTATTGAAAGAACCAAAATTAAAAGTAAATGTAATACGACTCAACCGAAACAAGTTGTAACAACTACAGTAGAAGCTACTATAGATGATTCAATGAATAATACCGTTAAGAAAATAGTAAAAAGAAATACACACGAAGTAAATCTATTTAAACATTTGTATCATGAAAGAGAGCTTGCCTTGAATAATGTTCCTGTACTTAATTCAAAAATACATCCAGCGATAGTAAAACTCGGTGTACAGTATGCTAATAAAATTATTGTTGGAAGTAATGCAAGATGTGTAGCACTTTTGGTAGCTATGAAGCAGCTTATAGAAGATTTTGAACAACCATCAAAAACTGATTTTGTAAGAGGTCTTGAAGCAAACTTAAAAGAATCGGTTGCTTATTTAAATCAGTGTAGGCCATTAGCTGTTTCCATGCAAAATGCATTGCGCCATTTAAAATGGCAAATGACTCAATTAGTATCTACATCTACAGATATAGACGTAAATATTTTTTATTAATTTATGATAAGTTTTTTTTCAATTAGATTACAAAATATTTTTTTTTCTTTTTATCTCAGGCCAAAAACAAGTTGATGAGTTCGATAGACACTTATATTTTGGAACAGATTCAACTTGCTGATGAAAGTATATCTATAACTATACAAACAAAAATATCCAATGGAAATGTAATTTTAACATATGGATAGTAAGTATATTAGATTGCATATAACATTTATGTATGTATATATATATATATATATATATATCATATTAAATAAAATCTCTCTTCTTTTTTGTTACATTTATTAAAGTGTAATGATATTGCTTTCAGTTCATCTTTAATTCAAAAAATTTTAATGGATGCATATGATGCTGGAAAACAATTTCGAGTTATCATTGTAGATGGAAGACCATGGTTGGAAGGTAAAGAACAATTGCGACGTTTAACAAAGCATGGAATTGATTGCTCATATGTATTGATTAATGCTCTTAGTTTTGTTATGCCAGAGGTGAGTTTTCATATTCGAGATAAAAATTTAAAAATATAAAAAATCAATCGAATTATATAGAAATTGTATGAGATAATTTAAAAAAATTTTCATTAGATTAAATTATTATTACATAGGTGAGTAAAGTTTTTCTTGGAGCACATGCTATATTAGCAAATGGTGCAGTAATGTCAAGAGTTGGTACAGCACAAGTTGCTTTAATGGCAAGATCTTTCAACGTTCCAGTTTTGGTAGCTTGTGAAACACACAAATCATGTGAACGTGTACAGACAGATTCGATAGTTTATAATGAATTAGGTTTGTTATATATAATTAATCATTTAAATTATATTTATTCTAGATATTCTAATTTTTTAAATATTTCTTTTATAGGTAATGCCGATGAATTAATTAGGTCCACTTATCGCAATACAAAAAAGTCATTACTTCAAAATTGGAGAACGAAAAAATATTTAAATCTTCTTAATATTACTTATGACGTTACACCGGCAGATTTAGTGACAGCTGTTGTTACAGAATTAGCCATTTTACCATGCACTAGTGTTCCTGTGATTTTACGAATTAAACCATCAGAGATTTAAATGTATTTAGATATAAGAAGTATTGGTTTTATATCAACCATGTTCATTACATGGTGAAGAAACATTCTTCAAGTTGAATTTCAGTGAATTGGAATTAAATTTATTCAATGATTAAGACATACTATGCGTATAATAATACTGTACTTATATAGAGTACTATATATATATATTTATATATATATATATATATAAACATTTATTATTTTGATTCAATGCAATATGATAATCGTTTGTATATTACTTAATGCATATTATGTTGTATACTTTGGAATAAACTTTTTAACTTGGAAGGATATGTGATAAAAGGAATATAAGTAATCTACTTGTAACATGTTATTTTATTCAAGATATTCCAAATCACAAATATATAAATTTTCCTTATTATGTACATATAAAAAATTTATTTTGTAAATAACTTGTTAATATTCATAATTTAAATTAATCATTTCTTTTTTACTTATATTGCTTATCATTGAATTTGACCAATCAATAGCAACGTGCAATTACTACTATTTTATTTCACTATATTTATCTTAGAGGTCACTGTATACAATATTTTCTAATATTATTACTGTTCGAGATCCACGTGATCGTAATAATTTATAAAATGTTAGACAATTTTTAAGAGCGGGGTTATTTGAAGAGATTTTTTACGTATAGAAATGTATACAAAATTATTAGATGTACGATTTAATAGACACATAACAATTAGATTATTTTATCAGAAATCCTTATCAAAGATAAATCTGCGTAATATATTATTAAAGAATTTTCGTAATACATCGAAAAATATTGATGATTTGCTTAAAAAATACGGTAACAAAATACTTAAAATACCAAAGAAGAATATTATTCAAAATAGTGAAATGTGTCATGTGAGTTAAAAATGTTGACAATTATAAAGTTATTTAAGAGGTTATGTGTGTTACAATGTCATGTAATATATAACATTTATATTTATTTTTTTAGGAATACAATATTAAGACAGGAACATTGAAAAATATCGTAACTTGTTTAAATATAAAATCTCACATTTTTAGGCACAGAATATTTTTACTAGAAGAAATGGGTGTATCTGAAATGGATATAAATATTATTTGGAAGTACGTTGATATTTGTATTGTTTCATTTTAACTTTTATCCATATATTTTATGTCCATTTACAATTATATCTTGTATACGATTATAGATAATCAAATGTACATTATATATATATTTGTTTTATAGATTAGAAAAGTACTTTAATCTACCTGCAAATGAATTTAAAAAGATAATGAAAATACCAATGGATCAACATATTATGACTAATATGCTTTCTCATATCAATAACGATTTGTCGGATGCGGTACCACCCTTAAATTTATTAGTTGAATCATTACCTGTAAATATGCATTACGAAAAATGTTTCTCATATTATATTGTGAATAAATTAAATTCTGATGAAATACAATCAAAATATAAAGGTAGAAAGTTTAAAAGCTTCAGATTAATGACAAAGTTAATAAATATTTTAATAAATAATTTTGACATTGATTACGAATATGTAAGTAATAATATATAATATATATATATATATGTATATACATGTATACAATATATACATACATTTATATATACATTACAATATATTATATAATTAAAAGTTCATTCAACAAAACCATAAAAAATTTTTTTTTATACACAGATAAGAAATCATCTAATCATTTTAGATATGTGCCCAAATCAAGTACAATATGTATTGGATAATTTAAAGGATACTAGAATAATTAATTTGACAATTCAAGAAGTTTTTAAAAGATTCCATGAAATATTACTATGCGATCCAGAAAATATAAAGAAATTATTAAATAGCTTTACAAAATATGAATTGGATAATAAAATTCTGATAAATTGTTTAAGAATTTTTAAACTTAGAAATGAAGATTTCATTGATAGAATGGAAAAACTCTTAACCATGCCAGATCTCAGAGTCTGGTGTAAAACTCCACGTATTCTATACTTCATACTTGATAAAAATGTAATTAACGAACGGATTAAATTTTTGCGCAATAATGGCTATATTAAAAATACTAATTTATACTTGCTTACAAGCGACAGAACTTATTTTGATAGGTAGTATTTTCTCACATTATACATATATATATATATATGTATATATATTTTTACAAAGATAATTTATATTAAATATAACATATATTTTTTAATATAGATATAAGAAAGGTGAATTTAATTTCTCGAGGAAACTAAAATACATAAAATACATTCTGCATAAGGAACTAGGCTATGATAAAAAAGACTTGATGAATAAATTTAAGAGACATCAATATTGGAACAAAGTATCCTTTGTAGATTTGGATGATACATTGCGTATCATGAAAAAGAACTTTTCAATAGAAGATATATATCATAATATTCATATTATTCTCTATCCATGGTACTTATCCATAAATCAATTTTCTCAAATCCATATATATTATGTTACAAAGGACTCCATTGAATATGATTATATTTTTTTTTTCAGGTCTACTATTAGCAAAATATTAAAAAGTATACAAGAGTCTGATGTGTACAAAAACTATACTCCATCTCAACAATTGGCACTTTGTTTATATTTTCTAGAAAAAGATAATCACTTTACTGGCGATGGAATTTGGAATATGAGGGAAGAGGAAAAGCAATTACAAAGTAATAAAGAAATTAATGATGAATAGCGAGAGATCGGGATAAAATTTAAATATTTCAAATGAATAATGAATATACTTTTTTTTTTTTTAGAAGTAAAATGATTTTTTGTCTCTTTCCTTCTGTTTTTTTTTTTTTTATTCCTTTTCTTCATTTAAAAAAGTGCACTTGAAATATAATACGTTTATTATGTCGATTATATTAATTTTTATACTTTATGCATAATAATGTGTTCTTATATATATATATATATATATACACATAGATAAAAGGAAATTGTGCTCTTCCATTTTCTTTGAATCTGAAAGATAATTGTACAATAACAATATCGCATAATTAATAAATAATTTGGATGGGAAATATAAAAAAAAAAATTCGCTCTCTCAACACTAAATATTTATATTTATTAAAAATATTTTAATACGAGAAATAAACATCGTAAAATAAAACACGTACATAGTACTAAATAATAAATCCAACTGTTTTATTTACTTCCATATTCACATGCATTATTATAAATATATGCATGTGATGTGTAGTGCATAAAAGAGAAGTTCTTTAATTAATTAACGTAACACCATAAAAATAAATTGTGACTACGAATTGTGGCGTGAAAT